ACGTGGAAGTGAAAACTTCGTGTACAACTTTTGTGTTTAACTTAACTCTAGTAATAAAATCAACCACTCAATATCACTTATATCCTTTTGAATAATAATCAAATTAGATTTTTTTAAACATGAGAATTATTACATGATTTTTCATCTAATTATATACCATTTGAGTATCATTATCATTCAAGTGCTTGTCTTTTTTATCTTCATTTCTTCTTTTCAATTCTTATAACAATTGAATTCAACAATTAATACATATGAGGAATTAGAAAGAAATGTCAGAAGCGAAGTTTACTGAATTTTTTTCTGCATAGTGTATGCAAAGCCATTACCACACACATACCAACCATGCATATAAAATATCAAAATAAACATTAGACTTTAGAAGTTGTAAATTTAAACCCTAGATCATATCCATTATCCTTGCTATTGTCATTTATTCCTATAAGATCTCATTAATAAATCTGAAATGAGTATAAATAAAGCATTTGTTCAGACATGACCCTGCAATGACATTTTAAAGCACAAATACTCCAAAGATTCCTAAGAAGAGGGGCCACTTTTGCAAATAGTCATTTAGTGAAATTCTCCTCAATTATATGGCTATCTTTTTTATTTTAAATCACAATTTTATAAGAAAAAGTAATTATCGTGTAGTTTACAATATGTGTAACTTGCCTTATAATTATAACAAGCATTTATTTTCTCTATAAATATTTCTTGAAGCAGCAAATAACTGATTAACACTAAGAAAGCTAAATGTAGACAATACTGTCTAATTTGAGATGATTTATTCTCCTTTCCAGTCCCCCTTCTGGCCGTCTAGTAGGAGGGATGAAACAAAGAAGGGCACTGTTTTGCATTTAATTAAAAGCACAACCAGAGTTTTGAAATGCAGGCCATGGAAATGATTGTCTGAAGGGAGTTTGGGGGTGACCAGTGCAATTCCATTCTCCAAAGGGAAAGCTGTAAGTTTGTAAAACTATGACTGCTTGGATATTTTCAAATAACTAGCTACCAAATGCCCATTTTTAATTAAAACAAACTATTTGTTTAAATATGAAGTTAACCACTTAGAATTTCATTTCCTGGGAAGGTAATAAGAGATGCTTCACTTAGGGTCCTAGGCTCCTACCTTTGTTCCCTCCCTCCAGATTCATCTCTCACTCTTCTCCATGCTGCCCTGGTGGCTGGGAGGCTGACCTTCATGTGGCTGAGAGGCTGCATCCGTTCTGTTGGCTCTCGCTTTGGTTTGATCTGGGGAATCACTGGCAGGAGAGCTGAATTTTGGAGGAGAGCAAACCCCACGACCATCCAGTGGATTCCAACTCATAGTAACTCTAGATGACTGAGAGTAGGGTTTTCAAAGCCCTATACTTTACTGGGAGCAGACAGCAGAGCAACGAGTGGGTTTGAACCACCAACTTTGTGGGTTAGCAGTCCAATGCTTAATTCAATGCACCACCAGGACACATCAGAAGGAAAGCAGGGTGGAGTTGGCTCCCTCTTTGGATTGGATTGGCTGCTTCCCTCAGCTCCTATTAACAATCTTCTCTTTATCCTGGCAGGAGCCCTGATGGCACAGTGGTTTTGCTAACTAAATGGCAGTGAATCTCTTTATCCTAGTGGTGTAGTGGTTATGTGTTGAACTACAATCCACAAGGCTAGCAGTTCAAAACCAAAAGCCACTCTGTGAGGGAAAGATGAGGCTTTCTACTCCTGTAAAGAGTTATAGTTTTGGAAACTAACAGGGGCAGTTTTACCCTGCCCAGAAGGGTCACTATGGGTCAGCACTGACTTGATGTCACTGCATTTTGTATTGTTTTTGTTGATGGTTTCTTTATCCTCTCAGCCTTATGGGGTTTACGGAATCCACTGTTCCCTGAGTGATCTGTGACAACGCACTCTTTGTGGTTGTCTCATGCCTGGTCTATACTTAGCAGCCTGGTGATGGAGTAATTACTACTAACCTCAAGATCCACAATTCAAAATCACCAGCTGTTGTACTAGAGAAAGGAGAGGTCTCGGAAACCCACAGGGGTACTTGTACCTTGGAGCCCTACTGGCATAATGGGTTACAAGTTGAACTGCAAGGTCAGCAATTCGAAACCACCACCATTCCATGGATGACAGAAGAGACTTTCTACTCCTGTAAAGATTTATCGTTTGGGGAACCCGTGGTGACAGTTCTCTTCTGTCCAAACGGGTGGCTATGAGTCAGAATTGACTCTATGACAGTGAGCTGTTGAGTCAACGCCTTTCAAAATTATAACCTTATTAACTTTTTCAAGGAATTCAATTTTGAGTGTACCATCTCTTCTGTGTTGGACTGTGAATGTTAGAATTCTTGGTTATGTCCCTAGGAAAAATTCTACAGATAAACCAGGTAGATGTACATATGAATAAGCAATTTATGTAAAGACTTGCTATATGAGTATATCAGTGATATTATAACACAACAATGCTTAATTACTGAATCACAAATGAAATACATTTAACTAGGAATATCTAGGTATAATTTCAATCCAAACATGTTTTAAAAGATTTCTGATAATCATCAACATAATTAAGCCAACTTTAAAATAAATATTTCAAAATCTTTATTTAAAATTATTAAATTGCTTAGCAAGCAGAGAAAAGTTAGATATTTCCTAGAACACAATTTAATTTTATCGATATATATGTAAAGAGAGATATTTACCTTTTCCCCAATTTCTCCTTTGCTGCCTTCCAATCCTTGTTCTCCCTGTAAAAGAGAAATATGATGTGTACACTGATAGAAATATTACTTATACCACATGTAATTGTTATGACAATGACAGTTTCAAAGGTGCAAGCTACAGCTTTGCAACCTCCAAATTTCCACTTGCATAAAATAAATATAACATTAATGTCTGCTTCATAAGTTTGTTTTGACACTTGAATGTATCAACATAGCACAGTACAGTGCTGGATGAGCCACTGTTGTTATTACTGCCACCATTATTTCATCAGATCCAGTAGAAATAGCCTTTCGCTAGTTGACGTCTTCAAAATACTGTTCTAGATAGTGTGTCATGATGAAAGGGTCAAGAATCGAACCCTGGAGGTCTGGCTTCCACTCTGATATCAGTTATATGCTCTCCACCACCCCACTCACTTGCCCTTCAGTCACAGGAAGAGGTGTGGTGGTTGGAGGGCTACCCACTCGCTGTCACCATCTTTACCCTGTTGTTGTTGTGAGATGTCACCACTTCCAGTTGGACTCAGAGCCACCCTGTAAGACACAATCTCATGGTCTCATAGGGTTTTCTGGGCTGTCATCTTGACTGCAGCAAATTTCTAGGTCCTTTTAACTGGGGAGTTATGAATGATTGCACTCACAAGGATCCTCCAATTTTATACTAAAACGGGGTCAAGTCCTTTCCACCAAGTTCTTTCCACAACTTTCTGGTCCATACAAATTTGTTTCATTACACTGTGCACAGATTCTTATATAAAGATGTAGCATTTAGCAGATAGTCATTATGAGACAGGCACTCACAACCCAGCCAGCAGGTGAATGCACAGGACAGGAATGTGCAGACCCACGGAGGGTCTCGAACATAACAAGTACTCAGGAGACACTTACTGAGCGCACAGAGCCGGAATGACTGGATTTTCATCTCATGTTTTTCTGCTTCAACAAGGTGACATGGAGTAATTAAAATTCACATGCTAGAAAATAAGTGCCATTTTACAGTATGTATGTGTGTGTGTGCATGGCAATCAAAATGTTTATGTGTGTATATTCACACACATATGTGATTAAATAATTATTTCTGCTTCACCTATTCTTAATTTTTAAAGTACCAGCCTAAATAGGTGAGGATGCACAGTCTACATTTTTTTCCCCTCCAAAATACGGACTTTAACTTGGACTGTTAATTCAAGCTGACATCGAAACTGCTAAACGCCCCAGTACATCAGCCACAATGTCAGCATGAGGCAGCCACTGCAAACAGCTGCTGGAAAGTTCAAGACGATTTCCCAGCAGATAAATCTGCACATCCCTTGGCTGGTAACTTGGCTCCCAGATGCAGCACATGCTGTATCCGTGGGTTTTGTCTAGAACTGCTGTGCAGAAGCTTGCCACTTCATCGCGGCCAGTTTGATCTTTATCAAACCAAGTAAAGAAGATGTTTCAAAAACTACAACTATAAATAAGCACCTATCTTATTTGATGATAATTTTCAGCTACAGAAAAAAAGTCAACATGCAATCGTAACTCCTGACATCGTGTTGCCAAGGCCTGTAAAAATCCTCCAGAGCACAGCAATGATACGCCTGGCTTTGGTGGGCAGCTAATATTGCAACCATAATGCTTTCCTCTGTGGTGGGATTAGCTGGGTGGTATCATGACAGCTGGCCCCACCTGAAGTGACTCCCCGCTTGTCCAGGAAATTGGAAGCGACCAGTCTTTGCATTTCTAATAATTCCGGCCACGTACAATCATATGCCTTCCTAGGGATGTAAAGAAGCTCTTAGGCAGTAGAGAGGTGTCAATGAGGCTCACTTTGGTAGAGAAAAATGTATGTATGAACCACAGAAAGTATCAGTCTACTGAATAGAAAACATTTAAAAATATATGAATTGTCATTTCTTCATAGTATTTTAAAGCGACTAGTGACTGATAGCATTTTTGTTATGTTTTAATATGTGATTACATAGTAATCCTTATGTGTAACTCAATTAGGAATGTGTGAAAAAGATATCAATACATAAACAAATGTAGTTCAAGGCAGTGAAATAGATGTCAATCTGCAGTGAAAATATTCCCAGAGAATGTACGGGCCTTCCTATTGTCCCCAGAAAGCACCACTGTTTTCTTTTCTGAGGAAACATACTGCTAAAGCCCTCTGGTTCAGTTTTCTTGTCAAACGGTCCCTTTCAAGAAGGGACTGCATCCATGCCCTGCCTTAGAAAGATCACTTAGTGACTTTCTGAAAGGGCCCCGGAGGGAATTGGATCTCATAGAGTACAGCTTCTGAAGCTTCACTATGTGATGAACATTAATTCAATGGTCAGGTTGTCAGAAGTCTTTGACACTTTAAAACTCATTACCTTTTGACCAGGTAAGCCTGGAGCACCAGGGAAACCGTTTTCACCCTAAAAGAAGAGCACAGAATCAATTTTATGATCCAGAATGAAAAAGAAGGAAAATAATTCCATCTTTAACTAGATGCAGTAAAGCAAAAAAACCCAAGCTCACTGTCATCAAGT